AATTTAATATATTATTAATTATTAAATATATATATTAATCCCCAAATGAAATGATTTATTTGTTTCAGGGTTGTCGGGGCGGTGGTTGTTGGTGCTGCCGTTTGCGCCCGTATTCCGGGATTGGCGAAAAGTCAACGAGAACAGTGCCGAAAAGCACCACACGCGATGCCTGCTGTTGGGGAGGGTGCCGAACTCGGTTTGCGTGAATGCCGACATCAATTTAGGCATCACCGATGGAACTGTTCTCACGTTGCCAACGATCAAGTATTCGGTCATGTCGTGGTAGTTGGTAAGATATTTATTCCAATTCAATATTTATAACAATCCCATAACCCTAAACGGAATCCTACCTGATGATATACGACGGTTAGGTGAGAAACAGGAATGGGGGAAATAGGGTTGAGGAGGGGGAATTTTTATGGGACGGGGGATATATGGTATCATCCTGGGGTAGGAGGGAATGGGGGGATATGGGATCAACCTACGTTCTAACGTTGCTCATCCAAATTTCAGACCACAACCATAAGGAAAAAGAAATTTCTCATTTTTTGTTGTTGTCCAATTTAGGTTTATATCATAGGGAAAGTTATATCTAATCGTATGTTAGAAATTCAAATTAATAAACCGTTAATAGGACCCAAAGACTCGACACGGCACCCCCCCCCTGCCCCCCACCCCACCCCACCACTCTTTCCTTCGCAGGTACTTCATCGAAAAATCTCTTTCGAAATATTTTACCTAGAATTTTATCCGATTAAATACATATTTCAAATCTTTGGTATAATCAACTGCTGTTACTATTACTATTTTACTATTATTTTTTTTTGTTCTTTTTTGATTCCCATAGAAAAAGGGAGAATATATAATATAACGTCGGTTGTTTTTTTTTTTCTTTCTTGTAATAGATGATAGAACGTATTTTAATAATTCGACTATTGGAATGAATTGTTTTAACTCTCGATAGGAAATAAAATTGATATATTATTCATATGGTTACTAATAGATGTATATATGTTTAAAAATAATATTATTTTAATTAAATAATATATATAATTTAAAAATATATAATTAAATATATATGTATATGTTACCGTCAAAGCAGGAAATCAGTCATTGCTAGTAATTCATAAGCATCGAACATAATAATTTGATAATCTATAGAATATCTAATTACTATTTATTTTCTATTACTATTATTAGTTTCGAAAAGGTATTCTACGCGTAGATAAAAGAGTGTACTTTAATTTAATATAAGTTTTATTAGAATCTATTCACTCTTAGTATAAAAAATATTTAGCGAAACTTTTCGAAGAAATTGCAAAGATGCATAATTTACAGCATTGCATTCTCTGACATTTTCTGAAGTTTACATGCAAAATTAATAACTCGAAAAGATATTCTATGTATAGACAAAAGAATTTACTTTAATTTAATATAAAAATCATTAAAATCTATTTGCTAAAAGTATAAAAAAAATTTACCGAAACTTTTCGAAGAAATTGCAAAGATGCATAATTTACAGCATTGCATTCTCTGACATTTTCTGCACTTTACATTTGATTTTCATAACTCTACAAAGTATTCTACGTATAGACAAAAGAATGTACTTTAATTTAATATAAGTTTCATTAAAATCTATTTACTTTTAGTATTTTTTCCTACGTGTAAAATATCTTACCGAATTATAAATCTTTTTACAAAGATTCAGGCTATATTTTCTAGACATTATTTAAACAAATATTCATAGATATTTCTATAGAAATCTATATCTTTTGTTTCTTATCGTATCGGAAGATACACACAGGTTTAAAACTAAATGTTTTTTTTACAAAAAAGAATGAAATAAAAAAGTAACGGAATGGAATATGATTTTTCATTTAAAACAACAAAACCATGTAGATGAAAAAGATGAAGTTAATAAATAGATAAGAATTTATATGGTAGCTTCTGGTCTTTGAAATTTCTCTCTTACGTAGAAACACGCAGTATATATCTATATATATATATTTATATATATATATCTATGTATAATACTTTAAAAATACATACGTATATGCATACGTATATGCATACGTATTACCTTGCATTAATGTACAATGGACTGTGTGCAAAGTTACGACACGACAAATTGATACGAGCGATATCTCTTACAGACAAGATAATCCGGCTTTGGCTCGTGAACGAAATCTGACGTGATCCACTCGTATAAATATCTTTAAACGTGCGTATTTGTTATTCTGACTGCTTTACAAAAAAAAACCAAATTAACAAAAAAAAAAAAAAATAAAAAAAAAAGAACAAGAGAATAGAGATGAATGGGAAGAGAAATAAAGAAATAAGAAAAGAGAGAGAGAGAACGTGTATGTGTGTGTGTGTGTGTTTGTATGCATTTAGGTAAGCCGTATCTTTGTTGATGACGTTCTGGAAACTAAGTAGCTTCGATGCAAGTTCAAAGGGTTCACTTATGCACGGTAATTTCTCATGATTAAAGTAGACACCTTCCTTTTTGTCAAAGATACGAGAATGGGGGGGGGGAAGGGGGAAGGGGGAGTGAGGATTAACGAATGGTGACCAAGTAAATGGAATACTCGCGCGAATAAACTAATATTTGTATGGGTTTAAAATAAATATGTTTAGAAATGATTTATAAGATAAGAATTTTGACACTCTTGACGTTGAATTATTTTTTCATTGTATTATTATTAAAAACAAAACAAAAAGAACCAAAAGATATAAGCAACACACACGTATTAATAATAATAATAATAATAATAATAATAATAATAATCAAATAAAATAAAATAAGAAGACGTGGAATGGGAAAATTAAAATGTGAAATAAAACAAAATTACGAAAAGTAAAAAGAAATACTTGTAACCACGTGAGAGTAGGGCGGAGGAGACAGGGGACAGCGGGGGGGGAGAGAAAGGGGAGGGGGGTTGCAAGTCGGTCGCTAACTTAATTAGTGAAATTAACGAGACCGCTCGACATGTCGTAGCTAACTGAAATACAACTCCGATATTCGTTAGGAAGAAATGATATTTCTTCATCGAGGCAAATACATATCATTTCACGTTGTAAGATAATATTCATTTACGCGTAGGATTATACGCGTTCGTTTTAAAACGATAAAAAAAAGGAAAAGAAAAAAGAACAGACGGGAAGTTACTTTAAAAAACTATTATAAATATACCTACGCGCAAACCTATTAACGCGATTAATTAAACGAAATATAGGATCGTTTAGAACATTTATTTTAACGTGGGAAAAGAAAAAAAAGTAATAAAAGAAAGAAAAAGAAAAAACATTCTTATACAAATCGATTTTGTAATTTTTTTTCTTTTTTTTTTTTATTTTATACCTACAGCGAATAAATAAACGGCCGTGCGATAGAAATTGTATGTAATGAAAAAGAAAATTGAAAAATACAGAGTTTTATTTAAATTAATTAATAATCGGCGTGTGTGTGTGTATTTTTCGCAAATAACATTGTCCCTAACGTTAATTCCCTTCTTTAGATTCTCGTAATTTGTAATTGAAAAAGAAAGTATGCACAAAAAAAAAGAAAAACCTAAAAAGAAATATTTCTCCTCGAACGCAATAGTGAGGAAATCGTAGAGGGGGAGGGGTTAGAGGGGAGAAGGCTGAAACATAAATAATAAATATCATACAATAATAATAATAATATTAATATTAATACATAAGTAAGAGAACACGCAGGAAGAGGTATATACACGTCGAAAGTTTTATAATAATTCAATCGCGTATTTTAAATCGATGACTCTCCTCCTAATATGGTTGAGTTTAATTAAAGACGATTTACTTAACCGTTCGTTCGTACGTACGTTCTTCGTTCATTTCTCGAAATTAAATCGATCTGTACGAATCGATACGAGTAAAACGTTCGACGAACTAAACTATAACCGCGATTACTAACTTCATGCCGTTAATTTCGCGTCGTTGTTGTGCGCGCGCATCGTAAATATCGGCCAACTTCATGCCGTTAATTTCGCGTCGTCGTTGTGCGCGCGCATCGTAAATATCGGCCAACTTCATGCCGTTAATTTCGCGCCAATGTGCGCGCGCATCGTAAAAATTCGCTCTCATTATTATATTGTCTCGGAAACGCGTGCGAAGGAAGTATAACTTTGAAAAAAAAATTAAATAAACCCTCTCCCCGCCCCACCCCCCTCATCTTCTCGTAAAACGAACACGAAAGTTTCGTAATAATGTTTATATAAATAAATAAATAAATAAATGGGAAAATATTAAACTGTAAAAAAAGTTTTGTTTGATTCGTCGTCGTCAATAACGAACGGGGCGAGGGTGGGTGAGTGGGGGAGGAGAGGAGGAGGAGGGGTGGTAGATCAACTTTCGATATTTCGTCGATTCGCGTTGAATAAATTTTCATAAATTAAAATTAAAAACGTTATTTTCGATTATCGAATGTGTTATACGTATACGTTTGAATAAAGAAGGCGGTAAAATAAGAAAAAGAAAAAAGAAGAAGAGGAAGAAGGAGAAGGAGGAGGAGGAGGAAGAGGAGGAGGAGGAGGAGAAAAAGTAGAAGGAGTTAAAAGTAGGAGGTTCCTTTTACGATTGAAGATTACGTGGGCGAGATTTGACTGGAGCTAATCTCGTCAAACGAATCGTACAGATTAAGAGATCCATTACGGTTTTTGTTTGACATATATATATATATATACTAGATTTTCATTTTATTTAATATTATCTAATTGTAAAGATTATATTCATTTTTTAATCAATTGTTATAAAATTTTTTAAGAAAGAAACCTGTCTCTCTCTCTCTCTCTCTCTCTTAATCAATTTTTTCTTTTCTTACCTTTTTCTTTTCAATTATTATTGTTTACGATTATAGAAAAAAAATTTAATTGAAATGAAGACGTTGGATATATCGGTTAACGTTTTATACTTAATGATGATGCTTTCCTAATTGTTTCTGAAATTATTGTGTTGTTTATGGGAAAAATTGTTATTTTTATTATTAACATTTATAAATTGTTAAACGTTGGACGCCCATAATGTTTTATTCATCTGTTAATTTTATTTCAAATTTTTATACTAACCGTGTTATTAGTTTAGTGTCGTGAATGTTTATTATTTGACGTAATAATATTTTTTCCATGTATTTCTCTCTCTGCAACTTTTGTAAAAATATAATATATTTTAATAAGATTAATTATATATTAATTAAAATTTCTATATAAAGTAATATATTAATATTACTTTTTTAATTAATCGAGTATATATTCAACAAACAAAAAGAAA